CTGTAGTTTTGAAATGGACTTTATGTTTTGAGGAATGTCATTCCAYGCTTTAGTATAAACATAGAAGAAAGATGCTTCCTTCAAAAACAATTTCTCCTAAAATTTCATGGAGATATCATGAACATTAAGGAAGTTATGAGCAAAATGGTCACAGAATTGTTTCAGATATGAATATCAGCAGAAATCATAAGCTTTATTTGACCTAAACAAACATCTGTAACTTCTTTAATACTTCATACAATCACGTTTTTGGTTTTATTTTATACATTTGTTAATGTTCTTTTTGAATCCACTGTCAGATTTGATATTGTTCTGGGGTAAATATTTTATCCACATCCCCATAAACAGTTCTAGAAGATATTTATAAAACWGATTTTTTATTTTATTATCTATTTTTCTATTGTTTAAACCTATTTGAAACTACATTTTTAGGACTTATGGGTTCCTGAACTTATTTGGGCATCAGTAGTAACCATTGTTACAATGTAAAAATGTATTAAACTAACATTAAAAGCACAGTTTTTGGATCTGAATACTTTTTTTTATTTCGAYATAAAGAGACCAAAGTGAAGTGTAATTGTGTTTCAGTGATTGTTTCGGTGTGTTGGACTGTGAGTGGTGCATGGTGGACAGCGATGGGAAGACCCACCTGGACAAGCCGTACTGCGCCCTGCAGAAGGAGTGTTTTGGTGGCATCGTCGGTGCCAAGAGTCCKTACGCAGACGGTCTGGGTCTGGTTGGTGAGTTCCAGGAACATAATAAATGAAAGAAATAGCACTGCTCGGCTTCAAAGCTTTGCATTCCATCATTTAAACAAAGATYTATCAGCACTCAGAGCACAAGATGAGGAGGATTTACAGTGACCACAACAGATCTAACTAAGTGAGATAAAGCCATTTTTGTCTTTTGCTTGTGAAGATCCAAGACAATAATAATTTAGCAACTTTATTTTTTTGGGCCGTCTGCCTGGTGTTGAATCATTTTTCACACTCCCAACAGAACAGAAGTATAAAAACGTCCCAGCATCACAGCAGGGGCTTCAAACCGGAGCCTGAATAGTTTGAAAGCATCTTGTTGGATTGTCCCCGACCTTCCTCAGGTCCTTCCTTCCTCCTCCTCATCTGTCTTGTTGCTTCCTTCTGCAGACGAGGAGGTGGCGTCTTTGAACATGATCAAGAGCGCCCCCGTGGGTCCAGTCGCTGGGGGCATCATGGGCTGCATCATGGTGCTGGTGTTGGCTGTGTACGCGTACCGACACCAGATCCACAGACGCTCACACCAGCACATGTCGCCGCTGGCTGCACAGGGTACGACTCGTCGTTGTTGATTTAAAGGAGTAGTGTGTGTGTGTGTGTTGGGGGGGACGTAAACGGTTTAAATCAGCTTTGGCAGCCATAACAGTCTGACACTGTCGATAAAATCGGACAAAAATCATTAAAATGATCAGTAAATGAACTGGAGAAACTGATTTTCCTGTGAAAATGCTAATGTGAAAACTTACTGYTGAAATGGAGCTGAAAATGTTTAATAGCAAAACAGTTAATGTGAGTTTAATTTGAAAAGCAGAAATGATGAGAGTTTACCTTAGCAAAATAATAGCTGAAAAGAGYAGAAAAAGCTAAAATTAGCATAAAAACAAGCTAAAGGTAGCCGACACCAGTTGAAAAGCAGATGGTGAAAGGGTGTTAATAAAGTCAAGTTAGCAGAAAAAAGTATAAAAGTACATCAAAGTGACAATTTGTTGTAAAATAGCCTAAACATCCCATAAGTGCAGTAAAACAGCCAAAACGTAGCTGAAAATTCTTAAATTGGCACAAAGCAGCATAAGGAGCACAAGTTTGCTGAACTAACCATAAAAAGCTGAAATAGCCACCAAAATGGGAATTTAGCTCATAAAAGCAAACTTCAGCTAATAACAGCTGAACATTTGCTACACTTTCAGCAAATAGCTGAATATAGTAGAATGCAACTATAAGAAGCAGAAAAAGCTCAAATTGGTAGAAAGAAGCACATAAAAGCAGAAATTAGSAAAAGAATGGCAGACAGAAACAGAATTATTGCTGAATTAGTGGGAAAAATAAGCTAAAATTAGCAAAAAAGGAAGTCAAAATAAACACAAGGAMGTTAAAAAGAGCAGAAGAAAAGGTGTAAGGTGCTGCAAAGGTCTAGAAACATTTTGAAGGATTTTGAGGATGTTGAAAACAGCTCCATTCATTTTCAATGGGAAAGATGTGGCCGACAATGTGAAATAGCTTAAAAAGTATAAATAGCTGAAATACCAAAAGTCATAGCCGGAATGTCCTTAAGGAGCTGAACATTTTGATGTAGGAATTGTTGAAATAGCACAAAAATTGTGTAACAAGATGTGCTGAAAAACRTACAGAAGAAAAAAATGATCTAATTTGTGTGAATGTCACAAAGCATATAGCATAGCATTTAATAAAAGAACAATTTCAAGCAGTTAAACAGACGACAAAAAAATAATTTAGAGCAGGGGTGGGCAATCCTGGTCCTGGAGGGCCGCAGCCCTACATGTTTTACTAGTTTCTCTGCTCAAACACACCTGATTTGAATGAATATATGATTATCAGGTTTCAGCAGTACGGCGGACCAAAACTGACAATTTGAAATAAAAGCAGAATTATATAAATGAACTATTAAATAAATACACTTAAAGGCACCAATTAGAGAACTTTATCTCCTGTTTTACATTTTAATTGACTTTCATATTTATTTTTCCAGGTTAGTTTCAGTAAATTAGTCTATACATTTTAACACGTAATTTAAATTTTACAGTTTTTTTTACATATGTATTAATTGTTTTTCCTTTACTTGTAACATTTGTGTGTCTTTAAATATTTAATTATGTTTACATTTTTTCCAATAAGTCTTTTTATTTCTATGTGTTGCATACTTTTGGTGCCTAAATTTAGCTTAAAGTTTAAAGTTTAGTTTAAAACAAAGGCAAAGAGGATTACCAC